TAACTGATTTTGGCCCGACCGGGGATTCGAAGTCAAGACGTCATGATTAGCAATCGCGTTTGCGATCACTAAAATAATGAGACACTAAACCTACCACAGATCAGGATAGCAACAAGTGCTATTACAGAGTACAGATCTTTAAACAAACATTTATTTATCATAGGTGTTACAGAATGTCCTGTGCAGGGCATGTATAAGGGAGGAGGCAACGGCGGCCCACGTGTTGTTGCGTGTATAGAATTTACCGGATACCATCAAGCCACGCTAAGATGATTTCTCGATGATGTTGGCTACATCGAGGGACTGATAAACTTCTTTGGGGTGATTTCATAGCTCGAATAATCACAATATTCCTGCCCACACGCAAAATACGCACTTGGACGTGGAGATACAGAAAATAGCCCGTCACAAACTATCTAAGTAATGTTCTACAGACAAATTTAGGTCTTGGGGTCCAGTTTCTACGCAGATGCCGGATGTGCGGTTCGCAAAGCACTCCTCTCACTGGACGTCAACAAGTTGAGTGGGTCCGATGGAGTCCCTCCCATTGTGGTGAAGAAGTGTGAACGCGTCTTTTCCGCTACTCCTACTCCCAAGGCGTAGTCCCGAATTCATGGAAGGCAGCTTTTGTCCATCTGATCCCTATAAAAGGCGACCGCTCAGTCCCGTCCAACTAATGGCCTGTCGCCATCACATCTTTGTTCTCCAAAATAATGGAGTCCATTATAAACTGCCAGCTCATGAGGTACCTTGAGGATCACCAGCTGATTAATGACTGCCAATAGGAATTTCATTGGGGTCAACCAACTGGTGATCCTGGTCTACCTGACTCATAGATGCTCGGATGCAGTAGAGTATAAGGTAGAGGCATTGCCCGTTAGCTTGGACATAGCGAAGACCTTCGATCGGGCCCGTCACAAAACGCTTCTTTTGAAGCTTCCTTCTTATGGGCTTCCCGAGAAATTGCGCAATTGTATCACCAGTTTTCTTGCTGATCGGAGCATCAAGGCCTTAGTAGACGGTGCACGGTGCATAATCTCTGACTTCAAGCCTATTAACGCTGGTGTTCCACAAGGCTGCGTGCTATCACCAACGCTGTTTCTTTTGCATATCAATGATATGTTACAAACTGGTAACATTCATTGCTATGCAGACGACAGCACTGGTGATGCCTTATACACCGGCCGTGCCAACATTTCATGCCGTGACAAACTTGTGTCTGAAGTCGAGACTTTGCTGAATAAAGTCTCGGATTATAAGCGACTAAATCTAGTCCAGTTCAATCACCAGAAGACATAAGTTTGCGCGTTTACCCCTTTGTCGTATCTCCCCAGTTTCAAGGCACTCCCCTTGCTGCCTCAGCTAGCATCGGAAAACTAGGCGTCGACATATCAAATAGTGTGCAGTTTCGTGGTAACTTTGAAGGGAAGGCCAAATTGACATCTAAAAAGTTTGGCTTGCTCAGCAGAGCGATACTGTATTTCATGCCGCCACATCGCTTGTAACTTTACAAAGCGCAAGTTCAGCCTCACATTGAATACTGTTCTCATCTCTGGGCCGGGGTACCCCAGTGCCAGCTCCTTCCACTTGCCCGCATCCAGCGCAGAGCGGATGGAATCGTCGATGACTGTATTCTTTCTGATCGGCTCGTTTCACTGGCACTGCGTAGGAATGTTGCATCCCTTTGCATTTTCTATCAAATCAACCACGGAGAGTGCTCTGAGGAATTGTTCGGATTAATTCCAGCCGCCAAATTTCACGAACGCACATCGCGTTAAAATTTACTTATTATTATTATTATTATTAACTTACCATCAGGTGAGACGCATGCTTGTTAGCCCCCTCTTCTATAAAAAAACTTAAAGATTATTTATTTTCTTTTGACCCACGATTTATTAATGTAATTAGAAGAACAATTTTAATTACAATTATTTAGTTAATAAGTAAAAAGAGATCTTAAAGGTTACGATTTCTTTTACTAAAAGTAGTTACAGCAACGCGCTGAACATCAAAATTAGATACAAATATATTCAGACTCAAGTATTTCGTTATTTGGCTTCTAACTTTGTAAAGACAAAAATGATTCCTACCATGAATTTAAAAAGTTTTTACAATATAAAACAATGATAGACTTACATACTAACACAGCCATATTTTCATCGACTGAAAAACTTACAAGCTAAAGTCTACAAGTCTTAACGCGTTCTATTTAAAACATTTTTAATGTCCGTTTACCACAACGTTAGACTAAAGAGAACTCATTAATAATTAAAACTACATACGGTATCGTATTATGTAAGCAGACATGCTTTTTGGGTTGTCATTTTACTTAAGATTTATGATATTTATCTTTTTTTGTTAATTCCTATGTAAACACTCGTTCAGCTGCAGGGATTAAAATAAGGGGTGATGCTTCGGCTATTATTATTAGTTTCTTATCCAGTTCCTTTAGCGTAGCGCCGTGGTAGACGGACTTTATGACTTAATCTTTTAAGCACTTCTATTTAGCAGAAAATACATAACTTAGAGATAAAAATTATGATATAAAAGGAAACAACTTTATGTTTTTTTTTTTGATACATTACAATGACAAACATTAAGTAATATCTAAATTCATTTTCAGGTAAAGAGAAACTGTTTTATTTTTCATTAAAACCTAATTTCAACCTCATTTCTTCATTAACAGTTAAATATTAGAATAATACCATAATTCACAGCCTATTTTGGCTTTTAATACCTATATATTAAAACTTAATAGTTTTATATGTTTAAAATAACAGACTTTGTGGTATTTCATTTCAGTTGCCAGCGACAATGCACCTGCTGCCTTCTTTTCTTGAAGTTTATTGCAGGTGTACATAGGCATCTGTATTCACTCTATTCATAAAAAATATTAAGCCTTTGTCCCTCTGTTGTTGTATTTAACGTGAACACTACATATTTTAAAAATTATTTTTTTTCGGATTTTATTGCATTTAATAATATACGTTCATGCAATAAGAGTTAGACTTAGAGTAGGCTTAGAATCAATCACTAGACAGACACTTAATGAATTTAGAGTGAATAAAGATCGCAAAATGGTACATGATTGTGTAATATATGACACTTTATGACAGTGGTAGAGCCACGCGACAGCTTTTGCTGTCGCACGGATGGGCCGGCTCAAACCGGGGCGGTACCACGGCCTCACAGATTACCAGCGTGAAGTAGAGGTTTACCTCTGCGTTTCGCTCGGTGAGTGCAGGTGGCCGGAGGCCCTTTTTACTGGAAAAGAGGCATTCCACCTTAGCCCTCACGGGTGACAACGCATTTGCATTTTGATTCGCAAACGAGGATAGATGTAGATGTCTATGGACCACAGCTACTTACCATCAGGTGGACTGTGTGCTCGTTTGTCACCCTATCCTATAAAAAAAATATATTAACATTTGTACTCTTTGCGACGCACGACAAAATTACGTTAATTATTTCCAAATTCACGGGCAATCAAAATTGTTTCTTCTCATTACTAACAAAATAAGTGATACCAAATATAACTCGAAATAAAAAAGCCTGAATTGTTGTTTTTATTACTTATTTTAAGCCAGTGCTTGAATAAAATCCTATTCTGGCAACATTACCTACTCTGTGCAACTGTTTGACACTATTATGTATCATAATAGTTCGACGCAGTTATTTTAATGATTCAGTAAGAGCAGAAAATATTTTAAAATCACAACGCAATGTATTATTACAAAGCGACTAAAATTATGAAATAGTAGCTTAACACTGCTGTGTTTCGTATGGTGAGTGTAGAGAACCGGAGACCCTTTTTACTGGGAAAGAGGCATTCCACCTTAGTCCTCACGGGTGACAACACATCTGCATTCTGATTCTTTATTGAGGATAGATGTAGATGTCTATGGGTTACAGCAATCACTTACCATCAGGTGGACGGTGTGCTCGTTTGTCAGCTATCCTATAAAAAAATCAATAAATTTTGCGAATATGTCTGCTGGTAGTAAATGAGTTTAGGGCTTAGATGCTAAATTAACATAGCATAATCCTATTTACTATTTTTAAGATAATATACACTTAATTTGCAATTTCACACAAATGTTGGCTCCAAATGGAATTTGAACTCAGAATCCACGGTGTACTACAAAGACGGTAGGTATTAAATATGTAACGTATTATTAAGCAATACAGCTATAATTGGATCGTGTTGTACAGAAATGAACCAACTCATAAACTGGCCAAAATAATGATCCAGAGGCTTCTTTTTTTGGGGTAATCCCAGTAGTCTCTCGTACCAAGTAGTCTTAATAAAAACAAACATAATTTAAATAAAACTAGGTTTTACATATTCTATCGCTCTTACTTATTTTATTATATTCTCGAAGAAATAAATAAATTATTAAACAAACATTCAAAAAAAAGGCTAAAAAACGTTAATGTGAAATGCATCATGACAAAAGTAGTAGTTAGGTATGGATGAAAATATTCTACTGGACTGCAGAATATTTTCTACTCTAGAGGTCTTACCAGTTAGTTCTAGTTGATAAAAAAATTATCTTTTTTACTAATAATATTATTTGGAATACAACACGCCACGAAGATTCCTAGTAGTCTTACTGGTAAGACTATCGAGAAGTTCCCATTAGACTTACCAGTAAGACTACTTGGTAAGACCACTAGGAATAACCCTTTATGTTCAGTTTATTTTCAAGTATTCCTCTGAAAAATAACAATCCCAAAATCTACACTTTTTCTAAAAATGACACACATAGCATGATATAAAAGGGATTCAGCCACAAAAAAAGAACCCATTTATCTTTAACATCTAAATTACTTTGTTTTAAGCGGTTGAAACATTTTTGCATAACATGTTCTAAATTTAATACCCGCATTTGATTATTATTTAATAAAATAATTTAAGCGTTTGAAACATAAGAAAATTGTCATGCTTAATTTTCAGGTCAGCTTCTTAGGTTCTTGATTTTTCAATAATGGCTTGATCCTTACGATTCGCCACTATCAACAGGTAGAAACTGCTGCTGTGCCACTGATGACAGAACCATATCTATGGGCTTAGTGTCGTCGTAAAGGGACGGCGCCTCACACAGAATCGCAAATGTTCCGACTATTGAAGCGATTGTGAAAATCCAAAGGAATAATCTATCCAACACCATAGCAACAAAGCCCCAGTCTTGATCTTCCTAAAGATAAAAAGCTAATATTAGTCGTGGTTGTTATCTTTACAGCCGATCAAAATACCACTAGTCAACATTGGTATTTTACCCTATATTTGCCGTAGTAGCAACGCTTGGCATAAAAGTTATAGTTAGAGCCTATATACATGCGTCCCACTGCTAGGCACAGGCCTCTTCTCATTTCTGAGAGGGTTTTAGGGCAAGGAAATGTCCGCCGCATTACCCCAATGCGTGCTGGTTAAAATTCCAATGTAACTATTTTCTACCGACTTCAAAAAGGAGCCGGTACTCAATTCGACTGTATGTTTTTTTTATGTGTTACCTCATAAATTTTTACTGGGTGAACCGATTTCGATGATTCTTTTTTTATTTGAAACTCTCCTTGCGATGAGAGTGGCCAAAGTCTAGCAACGAAGAAGAGAAAATAAAATGAATATGTAACAAGTTACCAACACATATACAGAATAGATTAGTAGGTAGGTAGTAGAACATTTAAGAAACGAACAGTTAGTGTAAGGAAATTATTCACTCCTAAATATTTGAAGATTTTCAAAGATATGTGAAGTTTGCTAATACGCTCTGGGGCAGCGTGGCGGACATTTCCTTGCCTTAAAACCCTCTCGGAAATAAGAGGAGGCCTGTGCCCAGCAGTGGGACGTATATAGGCTGTAACTTTAACTTTAAGTTTAAATATTTGAATATCTTCTTTCAAAAGCAAAAATTACTATCGTGGCTGTGCTGTCCGACAAGTGACGGTTTATGTATTCAAAAACACGTAAACACGAAGCTAAATCCCACAATATGGTGATGGGAATAGCATTACTAGTGAGACGGTGTCGACTTTGAATTCACAAACGTACATAACCAGCTGAGTAAGTTCGATCAAATGTCCCTGTGTACATCAGTTGACAAATTCTTAAAAACTCACAAAAAATAAAGGTATATTATATAAAATTTGTATTTTTATTCAACTTACTGCGTTAAACTCATCTTGTCTTTGCATGTGATGTTGTATAAACATAACATTATGGATTGCCTTCTCCAGTTCAAATGGGTATTTTTTCCGAGGAGCTACATCACTTAGAGAATCGTCAAGGCCTGACATAACTGAAGGGAGACCATTATATCCTGCACCAAGGCTTCCTAGGGCACCAACTAGCCCACTGAACCTGTATAAATAATTTTCAATATTAAAATATTGATATTAACCCTTTAAAACAAGATCAGAGAAGAATCAGCGTTTAGCATTCAATAGAAACGTTTTTGTAGTTCATTTACCGAATAAAGTTGTTTTTCCAAATAAATAAAATAGGATTACATATCTTATTAATTAATCTAAATGGAATAAACACAAATAATAAAACTTTATATATTATGTTAGTATATTAAATAACCGATCAAAGGCTAACTACTTTCTACTTATTGAAAATAACCTGCTAAAATAAATCACCTGTTAGTAGCAGTAGTGGAATGCAGACCATTACATCCCCCGGGCATGTTGTGACGTAGTGAATCCGGACTAGAGGCATTCGAGTTGGATTGTTCAACCGCCGCTAATGCATTTTTTAATTTGTTCTTTTTCATGCTTCTGCCGGCAATTTTCTGGGCTGCAAGATCTCTTAGCAAATCCTTTGGAACCCGCATGAGTAACAGTTTAGGTAGCTTTGTTATGAAAAACTTCCTCACCCATGGTGCCATTTTATGAGTACTAGGTTTACGGTAATGCACGTTGAGTATTATTATCGTTATAACTACTGAAAGTCCAACAAGCAGCATTGTGAAAAGTAAGTATTTACCAAGTAGAGGTAAAGCGAGTGATGTTGAAGGTATGATCTCGGATATGAGCAAAAAGAACATCGTCTGTGAGAGTAGAATTGAAATACTCAATGCAATTTTCTCCCCTGAGTCCGCTGGCAAGTAGAAAACTAGCACGGACAGATATGATATACCAACACATGGAACGATGAGGTTGACGGTATAAAACAACGTTTTCCTTCTTAACGTTATGTTAAAAAAAATATCTGAAACAATTTGTGAATTATTAATAAAACTTCTATAAATAGCTATTAATTTCATATTAATCATAGAAATCTAAATAAATAGAAAGTCTCATATCCGCAGTGATCTTTACAGCTAGTGATTCAAGAATCACTAGTATAGTAGTATATTTTTCATTTAGCGCCTGCAACATCAAAAGGCAATCATAGTTTGTTTCTTTACATACGTGTACAGCTGTAATTACTTAGAACTGGTTCGATGCAATTCCCTGACTTTTATTTACTGAGCTTAGTTGTACATAAACTCGAGGACGTTGTTGTTGTTATTGTCCTTCACTAGCAATCAGGATAGGTAGGATAGAGGATAGGCCACTTATCACCAAGTGGCTTGCTAGCTCGTTTATCATGTTGTCATAAGTCAATAGTTTTACAGGTTAAATATAAAATCATACATTACTCGACCATAGTGTTAGCCATCGCGATCAAATTTTGTCATATATTGTAAATATGAGTAATTTTTATTCATAAATAATTCGTTAATAAATTCCCTATAGCGTCACCTATCGGATCCTATCCAAGAAATAAACCATCGTTTCTACAAAACAAATATATTGTGTGAATAAAACCTCCATCGGTTTAGTCTTTTAGAAGGTACACGATCACTAACAGATGCACCAATAATAATATTTCATCTTGTGCTATTGATGTGGCAACGTGAAACCTTAATATAATGAATAATTCATTTCGCTGTTTCAAACATAAATATATGTAAGATCAACTATATAGTTGATTTAAAAACATACTCGAATTGAAATGCCTTTTATTAAAATATTATTCTTGTATATTTACTTACTTTCTACTTAAGAGAAAAAGTTTTAATAAACATAAATACATGATACGTAAAAGTGTACATAAAACATTATCGTAAAATGTATTATACAAGACAGGCAAACATCCGCAAAGCCATTAATGCTGTAATAAAAAAGTATTTCTCTCGAGTGAGTCGTTTGTGTCGAGTCAAAATGAAAAGTCCTTCAATTTATCATAATTATTATAACTCGAAAAGACGGTGGAAATTATTATGATTTAACCTGAGTGTTTGCTAGTATTAGCTAATATAAGCAACATTTGACAGCCAGTGCTATTTTTGGATATTGTGGACACCAATGATGATGATGCTAATTATGATGCTTCTGACAATTACAGTAATATCGTCCTAACTTATGAGAGAAACGCTAATACATTTTCACACTTAATTATGTGGATAAGGTGAAATTAATAAATATAATTCTTGGTGTATTAACCCCCTCCCCTCCACCCCTTTTTTTTCGTGGGGAAATCCTCATGGATACCTCCGGCTGCGGCGGCAACCGGAAAGTTATGCCGGACTCCTACCGGCTAAAAACCCACGGTGTCTCCTCGCACGTGCCCGCGGGGCCGCGGGAATCCAAATTCTTCCGCAGCCCCACACTAGTGCTGGCCCGGTCTGTCCGGGCCCCGTCTCCTGCACGGGGTAGTGGGGTGTTAAACTACCCCTCTCCACGGCCTCCAACTCCATCTGCGTATCGGACCCCTCCAAGTCCTATACACGGAGGCCATGGGGCCAGGAAAATCTAGCGCTTAGTAGCGTCCGCTTTCCCGACCCCAGCGGCGGATCTGGTCTCTGGCTCGCCACCAACCAAGTTTCAGCCGCGGAGGGTAGGGAGAGCGGCGCCTCGTAATACCAACACTCCTCTACCCCCGCGGCCCCACCACCAACGTAGCAACGGTGTGGCCCCGTCTGAGTCGCGGAGAATAGGCATCGCCGTACCAACACTCCTCTTCCTCCGCGACTCCACCTCGGCTGCAGCGGTAGAGGAAGCGGACACCCCTCTCACCGCAGCCCACCGACACACATCCGAAGTGGACTCGTCAAGCCCACTCGGAGTGGCCACCTCGGGCCGGCCCTATAGGGGTTCCTCTTTGTTCACCGCAGGTGACCAAGCCACGGCTACTAAGCCCCCCCGCCACGACAAGGTGGGAACCCGTTCGGGGGGGCTCCCCTGCCCCAACATCATTTTAGACTAACAAAGGAATTGACCTGCTTGCTACAGCATGATTATGTTTGAGTGATATAAATTTACTTTATCAGTTTCGTAAAATTTACTTCTGAACACGAGCCACCGCTGCTCCCTGTAGTTGATCTGGATGTTTCAAACATACCATTAGCTAAATAATCATACCGATATGTATCGGTTATCATGAGACCACCGTGAACTTTCAAGGCAATTTCCATAGCATTCTCATATAATACTCACGACATGATGACGGATTATCATATGCCGTAATCACACGACACTTAAAGCAAAAAAATGTAATTATTATTTATTTATTACTTACGAGTACACGTAGGCTATAAGCATCATTTATATTCACATTATAATATATGCATATATTATTCACATAATAATTATTTATTGCCATGTATTGGTGGAATTAGAGAACATACGTATACGTACAGAGCCGCACTGCAGCTATGTTATCGTTGTAGCACGAATGAGCCCGCTCTCACAGAATACCAGTGTGAAATAGTAGCTATATGAGCTTAATATTGCTGTATTTTGTATCGTGAGTGTAGAGAACTGGAGACCCTTTTTACTAGAAGCGATACATTCCATATTAGACCTCAGGAGTGACAACGCGTCTGAGTATCAATTCTTAATTGGGAATAAAAATGTAGATATATATAAGCCACAGCATCCACTTACCATTAGGTGGATTGTGCACTCGTTTGTCACTCTTACTCTATAAAAAATACTTTAAGATGCCTACGAAGTAATCCTAGTTAATATTCTAGCATTATTACGGAACAAACTGAACAGGTTTGGGATAATCGATTGTTTATTAGGTTGATTTAACTATTATGTTAATGAGAGAGATTATTTTGCTATTTTCAATGCTTACAAATCATATAAATTTATTCCAATAACCGGTTTATCACAGGGGTCACATATTGGCCCTTCTATTATTAGTATCTACCAATAATTTGTTGCGTAATTTATCATTTTATTTTTTTTACAGAAAGGTTACTAATTCTACCGATATGTTTAATCCTCGAGAAGATCTTGACATGCTTCAGAAATGGTATTGTAGTAGTTGTTGTGCAGCCACTTTCTCTAAAAAAAGTTATTAAAATGTCATATAACCTTAATGAAATCACTTTAGAAGAGGCCAAGCAGGTCCGCGATATTGGCATGATTTTGGACACTGAACTCGGGTTTACAACTAGATTAGGACAATTTGACAAAGGCTTTTAAAATGATTGGGTTTTACTATGAAATCCGTCAAAGACTTTAAAAGTAAATCCGCAAAGGTTACAGCATACAATGCCCTCGTAAGAACTCAACTTGATTACAATAGCAGTTTTTGGAGCCCTTTTTACAATACACATATAGATCATATAGAAAGCGTTTCCTAAGATATATTTGTGGAACGTAATACTTCTTTTTTCGTTTATTTTTCCTTTTATTTGTATTAATTTAGTATATTTGTGGTTTTATTTTATTTTTGTAAAATTTTCGAAGAAGCGTGTTGTGCTCACATATAATTGTAGTGATGCTTTTTGTTATTTCTTCATACATATAAATTCCTACTTGTAATCGTTTGTATTATCATTGTTGCTGTGCCAATTAATATGAAATAAATAGAAATCAACATGGGCCAAGTGATTTAATGTAATCAGTACCTACTTCCATTACATTTTTCATCTCAATCCGATTGACAAGCAATAAATGTGGGTTACCATTTATCCATAAATTAGTTCATTTCTTATAAAATCCTTACAACTCTCTCGTTCTTGCATTCTTGTTATACAAGTAACATTGGTATAACAAGAATGAGAGTCATTTTCAAGTAATTTGCGTTACATGTAATGCAAAATATATACATATATATTATTAATTATATTTTATAAATATAAATAGATTATTTAATTTATTAATTTAAAATGAAACTAAATTGGAATTAAATAATGATTTATGTGTAAACGCTGTATGCTGCTTTTTTATTCTATATATTAAAATTTCTGTAAAATTTTACTATGTAACCGTGCATGCTTTATTGAAATATATTTATTTGTATTTGTATTAATTTGTATAAATATTATGTATATTAAATTCTAAGCATATTATTATAAAGTAAACTGTAATTGTTTTAAATACTATACTTGACTACTTGTGAGTTTTTTGTCGTCTCTTCTACCAGGCCGCAGTAAAGCGTGTTTGATATTCAAAAAGTGATTTTTAAATAAAATGTTCAGTTTGAAGTATTTCGAATTTTTACTTTTGCTTGATAAATACCATGTAAATATCGGTATATGATGTGTAATGTTTTTTACTCATTAATTATAGCATGTCAAATTGCTTAACAGAAGCCTCCCCATAGATTGTGTCTGACAGTTTTTATTTTTACTTGTTATTAGAAACATGCTGCTGCCTATATCCTGGTTTGTTTCCTACTGCCTCCTCTTACGACATCCACGGGGCGATATGGGGTAGTAAATAGGATATTCTTAACCCGCCATTACACGTTTGCTTTTAACACAGTTGACTGTTTAATGTAAGCTTAATGAATAAGCAGTACGAAACCTACGTACGTATGTATAATGAAAATGCCATAGTAATATAGCTTGTTTTGAGCATGTCTCAATTAACAGTGGTAGAGCCACGCGGCAGCTTTTGCTGTCGCATGGATGGGCCGGCTCGAACCGGGGTAGTACCACGACCTCACAGAAAACCAGCGTGAAGTAGAGGTTTACCTCTGCGTTTCGCTTGGTGAGTGCAGGTGGCCGGAGGCCCTTTTTACTGGAAATGAGGCATTCCATCTTAGTCCTCACGGGTGACAACGCATCTACATTTTGATTTGTATCAGAGGATAGATGTAGATGTCTATGGGCCGCAGCATCCACTTACCATCAGGTGGACTGTGTGCTCGTTTGTCACCCATATCCTATAAAAAAAAATGTCTTTTTCAACGATCGTTAATGACAAACTAAGATCAAAAATATCGTAAGATGAACAATGACCACACGAATTATATACCTTTTAAAATCCAAACCATACAATCGTTAAATTGCAGGAACTAAATAATCGCTGACAGATGAAAAAATTTCATATTTTCTTCTTTAAAACTAAAAAGGGTAAGACGTAAAAGCACCTACCAATAAATTTGCCCGAGCCTGTTCTTTTTCCGAGCGTATTCCATACATTAGAGTCGGAATACCACGAGCGCTCGCGTTATGGCTAATCTCCTCGTTGGCTGTAAATTACATCGCGGCGCGTCGTCGACGCTTATCTATGCTAAATTACTGCGTTTTACTGCCGACTTGAACAGGTTAAACGCTTGTTTTGCTAATGCTTACAAAGGGCAGTTAACGGGCTCGCTGTGTGAATACTGATGGTGCGCCTGTGTCTGGTTGATTTATGTATTTTTAAACTGTTAAACAAGTGTGACACAGCATTTTTGTAAGAAAATCCGCCCCTTGAACATCATAGCAAAGCGTATTACTAAGTTTCTATTTAAGAATAAAATACAATAGAATAGAATAACTTTTTTCAATATTGTTTACATGTAATTCTTATTGAAAGTCATGTTTTTACTTTTACCACTGGTACGTAACAAAACCTCTATTTTCTTCTAGGAAGAACCAGCTAGATACCCAGTGGGACTTTTTTTAAAAGTACAACTTACAATATTATATTTACTCAATTTTCATGAAAACATTTAGAAACAGCCTGGTGGCGATCACCTCATTCCCAGGGGTTATTATCAATCATGTACTCTTTAGTAGTATAATAACCCTTACTAAACAATTTTTGCTTAATAAATTTTGAAGCCCTTTGATAGATAAGATTTGCACATTTTCTGGGGCTTTGTTATAAAAGTGTATACGTTGCACCATGAAGGAATTACTGACTCTTTAGAGTCTAGTAACTAGTACTTGTAAGGGTTTGTGTTTCGAAATACACGATTAACATAATTATATGTAGATTAAACTGTGTCTAATTTCCTACGTAGAGATTGTTCGACAGGCAGACAAGCATTAATTACATGCTCGAAGCCTGGAGTCAGTAAATTAGCAGTGCTTTACTCCCAAGCCTCGCAACATAATATAGTTGCAGCGTGAATGAATCGGCGCGAGTAGAACCACGCCCTAATAGAGTACTAGCATTAAACAATAAATAATATTATCGAATAATCCGGCTGCGTTTCGTAAAGTGAGTGTAGAGATCTGGAGACAGTTTTTACTGGTAATTAGGTATATCATCTATATCGAAGGGGGGACAGCGCATTTATATTGTCATGTTACACCTAGATCTAGCCGGTTAGAACTAGGTGCGGCCAGCAGTAGTTGGTTAAATTTAGGTGTACGGCTAAATTTGTAAAAATGGGGAAAATGGTATCAAGTAATAAGTAGGTTTTTACGTGGTAGAGCCATGCTGCAGCTATATTAGTAGTATATTTGTAGCACGAATGGGTCGGCTCGACCGGGGAAGGACCACACTCTCACAGAATACCAGCGTCAAATAGCAGCTCAACACTGCTGTGTTTCGTATGGTGAGTGTAGAGAACCGGAGACCCTGAGGCATTCCATCTTAGTCCTCACGGGTGGCAACGCATCTGCATTTTGATTCGCAAACGAGGATAAATGTAGATGTCTATGGGCCACAACAACCACTTACCATCAGGTGGACTGTGTGCTCGTTTGTCACCCTATACTAAAAAAAAAGAAACAAAAGGTTAAGGTGCGGTTAAGGTGGCCTTTGGGCTACCTTAAAATCGCAGACATTTTTCTAATTAATAAATTATGTATAATACATCAACCGCAATTGACTACACCTTGTATTAGCTGGCTACACCTAGGTGTATCCACACTTTGGCTTTTAAGCGTAACAGTGATGCATAATCAAATAGATGTAGATGTCTATAAGCCACAGCATCCACATACCATCAGGTGGGTTGTGTGCTCGTTTGTCAACTTTATTCAATAAATAAACTCTGGGAACTAATATTTATTTTAAAAATAAGTAAAAAGTATCTCCGGTTAATAACCATATAACAAACACAGGAACATATTATGCTGCTATTAACGTTAGTATTATGTGCGAGTGTAGTTGTTCAATGCCGACCCATTCGTGTTTAAACCATATCAAAGATCCAGCGTGATTCTACTACGTAATGATATCATTAACTGCGATGGAGAAGCACGTTTATTAAAAAGTGTGAATCAATTTTTTTTTATAGGATAAGGGTGACAAACGAGCATACAGTCCACCTGATGGTAAGTGGTTGCTGCGGCCCATAGACATCTACATCTATCCTCTATTACAAATCAAAATGTAGATGCGTTGTCACCCGTGAGGACTAAGATGGAATGCCTCATTTCCAGTAAAAAGGGCCTCCGGCCACCTGCACTCAACAAGCGAAACGCAGAGGCGAACCTCTACTTCACGCTGGTTTTCTGTGAGGTCGTGGTACCACCCCGGTTCGAGCCGGCTCATCCGTGCGACAGCAAAAGCTGCCGCATGGCTCTACCACTGTTAAAATAATTTTACCACTTTTAATATTTATTTTATAATTTTTATAACAATTAGTTAATTTAATATTTTAGTTTTTAAAATAAATTGTTATTTTGCTCTCGAACTGAAACTATGTTAAATGTTGTGTGTTAATTTTTAACTTAAATGATTTTGCATGGTCATTGTTCAAGAAACAGAAAAATAGATGGTTCTCTATTCGATGTGTATGTACTCTGATTCCTGAGAAGCGGCTAAACAGATTTAAATATTTGTTCTTTTTTATTAAATAGCTCCATGTTAATTTAAAAAAAATCTGAAAAACGGTTGACCCTGCAACTTGCCTCTTATTTTCGAGCGCAATACTCGAAAATAAGCGGTAAGCGAAATTTTTATTTACATACAAACGTATACCTCTCCCCCCTCCCCTCAAGGCCATTCGGGAATAGTTAGAACGACTTCCTAGGAACTCAAAACGTGGAGATCTGATGGAAACTCGCATTCTCAAATTCGAACCGATATCTACAACTTCCTACTTTTGAAAATGAATAATTTTCAAAGTGGAAAGTTAAAAAATACATTCATACATACATTCAGATCTTCCTATTATTTCATACATACAGTTATTCCTATTCCTAAATACAGGGGTGCAAAATAGGAGATGAAGATTTAATGTATGAAATTTGTTCGTACCGACAATTACGAGACTTTAAACGACATTCTGGTTGCTCTACCTGGCACTTGTGATATTCTTTACACTACTCAAATAGGTAAAGTAATTAAACTTTTAATAAAACATTTTTCTAAGTTGATCATATCATTTTTATGAATTGAGTTTTTATTTTTTATTAAAAGTTTAATTACGTGTTGTGTTGTCAAATATATCTGTTCTATTCTATTATTTTATATTATTTTCTATTCTAAGTACCTGGATAGGGTTCCTGACAACATGGATAGTATCGCTCATGCCTTTCAGCAGGTACCCCAAGAATGTCCCACTCCACAGATGGGTAGTACTCACGTAGATCGATACCTACCTCGACCATATCACCCTTTTTCTGATTTATATGCTTCAAATCGATCTGAAAAATATAATGGTGAGTTAACATAATGATTTATTATATTCTAGACTACACCCCGGTTTCGCATTAATCTTTCGGTTTCTGGATCTGGACAACAGCGCCACCTACCGGGTCCAATTGTGAATCTAAGCCATCCAGGGACCCACTGAAACGCACATAAAAATTTTCATTGAAACCGGTTGACTCGGTTTCGAGTTTTAGCGAGACTAACGGAGACCAATTGATTTTTATATATACAATAAATTATCATATAACATATTTTTTTATATGATAGGGTGACAAACGAGCACACAGTCCACCTGATGGTAAGTGGTCGCTGTGGCCCATAGACATCTACATCTATCTTCAAAATGCAGATGCATTGTCACCCGTGAGGACTAAGATGGAATGCCTCTTTTCCAGTAAAAAGGGTCTCCGGTTCTCTACCTAACCATACGAAACACGGCAGCGTTAAGCTGCTATTTTACGCTGGTATTCTGTGAGAGCGTTTGATTGCATTGCGTTTGTTTGACTGCATTTTGATTCGAAAACGATAGGATAGTTGTAGATGTCTATGGGCCCCAGCATCCACTTACCATTGCACTGTGTGCTCGTTTGTCGCCCTTATTCTATAAAAAAATCTCAATCTATCGCAATCTATACCATTTTGCGGAGAGTCGACAATCAGGGAAATAAATGAGGTATTGGATTCTTTTACGTCGCCCCCACAGAATAGCAAAAAATAATTTCAAATAAAAGGAATTAACATTACTTTTTATCTAATATTACCTGGTCTCCGTCATAACTCCATGAGCCAAATTTCAGGAAACATGTTTGCTGATCGAATGGGAAGTAGCGCACGTCAATTTCGCAGGAAGACTTAAATATGGCTGGTGGTGTCCATAACACTTTACCGTTGTGATGAAGGACCGCTTTTGTCATCGTTGTCACCACGTACTCTCCGTCAGCGCTGCGAAATATTAATTTTATTATTGCATATTCTAAGCAAGCTCTTACCGGTAAGCGAAATATAGGGCGTCCCCGCAAAAGATAGTGTGACGTTCCTGGTAGACCTGGTAGTTTATGCAGAAAGTCGATGGATGCAGGTGGCTAAAGACCGTGCTTTGTGGCATTCCTTGGGAGAGGCCTATGTTCAACAGTGGACTTGTGAAGGGCTGTAATGATGGTGATGGTGATGGTATAAGAAAAATCGGTTTTGATTTTTTTTTAATTGCACATTTCAGAACTTACAAACTAATTACAACTTTCAAATAAATTTGTCGGTATGATACGCGCGCCACCTATTGTAAGTTAAATGTAATATGCCTATAACCATTTCACAAGTGCAAGCAATAACTTGACAAAGTTTTAGCCAAATCTGATGAACGGATTGGCAGCGCATAAAATACGAATAAACAACTTATTTTTTATATATTACATTCAAATAATTAAGGTTTTATATAAAACAATAAATCAATACGTATTATAAGCCTACGTAGTGAAAAAGTTATGTAGGGTTTTCGTTTATCTACTACGTAGGTTTGATTGTTTTTCTAGAATGTATCAATATGAAAAGAAAACATTGTTAGACAAGGTAAGTCCAACGTCTTCTAGGAGGTTGATGCATGTGGATCAGTACGGATTAGTGGCCTTCTTCGGGGGACGCCTATAACAGTTTACTTGTTGAAGGGCTGTAAAACGATGATAACGACGATAATGACAAACTAAATAATAAATTCTCCCTTCAGCGAATTCTGTCGTTGTTAGTTACTACCAAACGAGTATTTCGGCTCATCTTTTATGGTAGGTACCTAAGTTCTAGGTGTTACATTGTAGTTGTTTGCCCTTAGGTTCACGGAAACTTATAGAGGTAAATGTTTGCGGTTTTGTGATTGGTTTTTGTCTTCTTACTTGTAACTAATTCTTTAGGAACTAATACTTATTGACACATTTACTTTTGGATTTACTAGTTATGTTGTTACGTCTACCGCTGTTGACATAATTTACTCAATAGATAATAATTTTTGTAAAAAACAAAATAGGCATATTCCATATTTAGAATAGAATGAAATAGAATGATTTTCTATTCAGTATTGATTATTACTTAATACTTATTGAAAGTATTTTTTTATTTACATTATTAAATAAATAATAGGCATAATAATAAATGACGATAACCGATGGGGGACAAGGTTCTCGAGTGGCTGCCTCGTACCGGCGTATGAATTGTAGGACATCTCCCCACTAGATGGAGTGACGACCTGGATCGTGCTTTGTGGCATTCCTTGTGGGAGGCCTATGTTCGGCAGTGGACTTGTAAATGGTTGTAATGATGATGATGATGATGATAATAATAATAATAAATACATTACATAGACCATATTATCCATTTACCATCAGGTTGACGCTGAGTAATGGTAACTACTTCAATAAAAAAAACATATAAATGCTGATTTAGTCGTACGAAATTTTAGAAAAATGCCAGAGAAATTTCGAATAAAAAATCTTAGAAGGGACAAGTCCAACACGTCACTCTAGTCCAGCGACAAAAACTTTTTAAGCCTTTGAATAATGCACAAACGCGTTCAATAAATAAAGTTTAATTCTACAATATGCCACAGCGATAAAATCACACAATTTTTTTCAATCACACAGTCCACCTAATGGTAAGTGGATGCTGTGGCCTATGGGCCACAGTTCTAATCTACATTTGTCTTCAATTAAAAATAAAAATGGAGATTAGTGATCACAGTATTAAGCTGCTATTTTAAGTCGGTATTCTGTTATCTTTCCCCTGTCGAGCTGATCCATTCGTGATACCACGTATATGTAGCGTAAATCTACCACGTATTAATGAAATCATAGTTGATGTGTAGCGTTCGCGTAAATGAAAGAGAGAATATTTATTCTTCAAGATTTTTTTACTTCAGACAATTATTGTTTATATATCTATATAAAAAATCGATTTACGTGATAAATTATATGCACCGAAAAAAATATGTTTAGGAGAGGTCTATGTACCGCAGAGTAAGTACAAAAAAGTTTTGTTGAAGACTTGAAAGATGTGTTATGCAAAAGGGTCAGGGTATATTATAATCGTGGCCGTGCCTTGAATGGTTATGTAAATATGTTAACGGTTAGGGGACACGTTCCTCGTTTGCGACAGTTACTATATTCTCGTCTAAGGCAACTCATACGTGAAGGGGTCGTACGGTCAAATAATTTTGTGGTATACAATATAAGATGAAAGCGAATATGAAAAATCGCGTTTATTTTTTTTATTTTGTTTCTTTCTCTAAGAATAAAAGGTTGTTTTGATCTGATTTCCAATAATTAGGTGTAAAAAAAATGCTTTTGATAACCTGATTAATCTTTTCGGAGGCCTCCCTCTACTGTTATATACATCCAATTTTATAGGTGTTACATTGTAGTTGTTTGCCCTTAGGTTCACGGAAACTTATAGAGGTAAATGTTTGCGGTTTTGTGATTGGTTTTTGTCTTCTTACTTGTAACTAATTCTTTAGGAACTAATACTTATTGACACATTTACTTTTGGATTTACTAGTTATGTTGTTACGTCTACCGCTGTTGACATAATTTACTCAATAGATAATAATTTTTGTAAAAAACAAAATAGGCATATTCCATATTTAGAATAGAATGAAATAGAATGATTTTCTATTCAGTATTGATTATTACTTAATACTTATTGAAAGTATTTTTTTATTTACATTATTAAATAAATAATAGGCATAATAATAAATGACGATAACCGATGGGGGACAAGGTTCTCGAGTGGCTGCCTCGTACCGGCGTATGAATTGTAGGACATCTCCCCACTAGATGGAGTGACGACCTGGATCGTGCTTTGTGGCATTCCTTGTGGGAGGCCTATGTTCGGCAGTGGACTTGTAAATGGTTGTAATGATGATGATGATGATGATAATAATAATAATAAATACATTACATAGACCATATTATCCATTTACCATCAGGTTGACGCTGAGTAATGGTAACTACTTCAATAAAAAAAACATATAAATGCTGATTTAGTCGTACGAAATTTTAGAAAAATGCCAGAGAAATTTCGAATAAAAAATCTTAGAAGGGACAAGTCCAACACGTCACTCTAGTCCAGCGACAAAAACTTTTTAAGCCTTTGAATAATGCACAAACGCGTTCAATAAATAAAGTTTAATTCTACAATATGCCACAGCGATAAAATCACACAATTTTTTTCAATCACACAGTCCACCTAATGGTAAGTGGATGCTGTGGCCTATGGGCCACAGTTCTAATCTACATTTGTCTTCAATTAAAAATAAAAATGGAGATTAGTGATCACAGTATTAAGCTGCTATTTTAAGTCGGTATTCTGTTATCTTTACCCTGTCGAGCTGATCCATTCGTGATACCACGTATATGTAGCGTAAATCTACCACGTATTAATGAAATCATAGTTGATGTGTAGCGTTCGCGTAAATGAAAGAGAGAATATTTATTCTTCAAGATTTTTTTACTTCAGACAATTATTGTTTATATATCTATATAAAAAATCGATTTACGTGATAAATTATATGCACCGAAAAAAATATGTTTAGGAGAGGTCTATGTACCGCAGAGTAAGTACAAAAAAGTTTTGTTGAAGACTTGAAAGATGTGTTATGCAAAAGGGTCAGGGTATATTATAATCGTGGCCGTGCCTTGAATGGTTATGTAAATATGTTAACGGTTAGGGGACACGTTCCTCGTTTGCGACAGTTACTATATTCTCGTCTAAGGCAACTCATACGTGAAGGGGTCGTACGGTCAAATAATTTTGTGGTATACAATATAAGATGAAAGCGAATATGAAAAATCGCGTTTATTTTTTTTATTTTGTTTCTTTCTCTAAGAATAAAAGGTTGTTTTGATCTGATTTCCAATAATTAGGTGTAAAAAAAAATGCTTTTGATAACCTGATTAATCTTTTCGGAGGCCTCCCTCTACTGTTATATACATCCAATTTTATAGTCAACATTCTTTTTGTGATATGACTTTTCTTCCCTTCGCAGAATTCGTCTTCCACTTCTCATCTTTTCAACTTATAATATTATTATTAATTAATTACATTTACACTTAAAATAGGTTCGCAGAATAAATATTAAAATAAGATTAATTGAAAAACTAGTAGTATATAACATGTATTGTTGAAAGAAAATCGTTGTGAGATCTACACGTTTCAGAAATTAAAAAACAATAATTTGAGACCATCGCGCATTGGGCGACGCAGCGGACTTTTCTTTATTCTAAAATCATCTCCTAATCGCAACAGCAAACATAGGCTTTAACTTTACTATGCATATTTGTAAAAACGTACCCGGAAAACATAAAAATATTACTTATTATAATACTTATTATACAGGGAAGGACCATGCTCTAAAATAACACCAGCGTAAAATAGTAGCGTGATTCTGCTGTGTTTCGTATGGTGAGTGTAAAGAACCGTACTCTATTTACTGGTATCGTGGTATTTTATCTTAGTCCTCAGGGTTGACAACGCATTTGATTCTTAATCGAAGATGGATTTAATGTCTATTTTATTAGTGATTTCGGTCCGATTTTGAAAAATGAGAGTTTTCATCAGATCTCCACGTTGTTTGAGGTCCGAGGAAGCCGTTTCGACTATTCCCGGCTAGACGCCCGGCCGTGCGCGCGCTCGTGTTTGTGTGTGTGTGTGTGTGTGTGTGTGTATGTATGTGTGTGTGTGTGTGTGTGTGTGTGTGTGTGTGTGTGTGTGTGTGTGTGTGTGTGTGTGTGTGTGTGTGTGTGTGTGTGTGTGTGTGTGTGTGTGTGTGTGTGTGTGTGTGTGTGTGTGTGTGTGTGTGTGTGTGTGTGTGTGTGTGTGTGTGTGTGTGTGTGTGTGTGTGTGTGTGTGTGTGTGTGTGTGTGTGTGTGTGTGTGTGTGTGTGTGTGTGTGTGTGTGTGTGT